GATGCCATGAGCAAAGTTGGTTCAAATTGATTGTTCTACAACTTTAAAAAAACTGCATTAGTCTATCTCAAGTAATAAAAAAGGTTGAATTTTTAATTCACCAATTTTAAGCACCACCCTAATTTCAATTCGGCTAAAAATACGAATAAGCTTTCCCCAGACACCATATACCCAAAAGTGATGGTTTTGGTGCTAATATTTTTGTCTTCATAAATACGGCTTTTATGGATGTTCAGGATCTTCCTGGTGAACCATCTCGTGGTCCCAAAGGTCCATTTTCCGTCTAAGCGTTCATATTCCGGTCACAACTCCAAATTCATTCTGATAAAATTTTTATGAGTAGTTTCGCAAACTCATGGAGCTCTAGAATCAGTCTCATGAATTGAAAACTTTTGCGGATGTTCCGGATCTTTCGGTGGACCATCCTGTAGTCCCCAGAGTCCAAATTCTAGTCAAAACTCCGAATTAATTGTAGTAAGACGTTTATGAAAGGTTTAACAAAAACATGGAACAATCAATATTTAGGTCACAACTCTGAATTCATTCTGATAAGACGTGTATGAGTATTTTTGGAAAGTTCACGGAGTTCTAGGATCAGTTTAATAACTTTACAACTTTTACGGATGTTCCAGATCTTCCCGTGGACCATCTTGTAGTCCCCAGAGTCCATATTCCAGTCAAAACTCCGAATTAATTGTGATAAGACGTCTATGAGCGGTTTCGAAAAAAAACACGGAACTCTAAGATCAGTTTTATGAATTAACCACTTTTCAGGATGTTCCGGATCTACCGGTGAACCATTCCATGGTCCCCAGAGTACATTTTCCAAACACAACTCCGAATTTATTGTGATAAGACGTCTATGAGTGGTTTCAAAAAATCCGTGGAGCTCTAGGATCAGTTTCATGAATTGACCACTTTTACGGATGTTCCGGATATCATAATGGATCCGTAGTCCCCAGGGTCAATTTTTCGGTCATAACTCCGAACTCATTCTGATAAGACGTGTATGAGTGGTTTCGAAAAATCCGCGGAGCTCTAGGATCAGTTTCGTGAATTGACCACATTTACGGATGTTCCGGATCTTCCGGTGAACTATCCCGTGGTCACCAGGACCAATATTCTGGTCACAACTCCAAATTCATTCTGATAAGACGTTTATGAGTGGTTTCGAAAAATCCGCGGAGCTCTATGATCAGTTTCATGAATCGGCCACTTTTACGGATATTCCGGATCTTCCACAGGATCAGACTTGTGTCCTACCGGAAACTGAATCGTCCCAAAAGGTAGCCAACATTCTGCTTAACAACTTCTCAAAAGACATCAGAAAGTTATCTCTTCAAATTGCCGTACAATCAGTGTTTGGTCCCAATTAGCTCTAATCCCATATGCTACGTGTATTCGTTAATGCCAGATCGACCGTACTATAGGAATCCGGCAAGAACGAATCCACACTATAGGAATCTTGACTGTATATGGCTATGGCAATGTTTTTGAGTCATAATTAAATGCATAAATATTTGTTATGTAAGCTGTTACATAAATGCTTTTGTCCAAAATTTTTTAGTTATTTCGATCCTTTTTTAATCTAAATTATATTTTTATTGCATGATTTTTCAATCAATTTCCATATGAGATCTTTAACTTCACGTAAGTTTAAGTAAAATTATTACAATCAAACACCAAAAATTTGGTTGTAGATTTTTTTGTACACTCAGGCCATCCCTTATAAAAAAAATACCATACACGAACGATAACCCAAATGATTGAACTATTCCAAAAATAGTTTGGATGATACCCCGAACACGTTGGAGGCGAACCAGCCTCAGGCTGAAAGCCTCCTTATTAAAGATAAATCAATCAATCAACCCCGAACACGTCGTTAAGCAAATTAACATTTTTATTAGGGATTACAAAAAATTTCAAAGTTTTTATCCCTTGGCTGTCTCGCGATTCGCGAGTTTGGAGTGACGTTTGGAAAGCGGACAAAAAAACGCATTCGTACGAAAATGGGAATAGCAACATCGTTCGAACGAACGATGTTCGAAAGTTAGAATTGCTTCGAACGAAAACGGGAATGGGAAATTGCTTTCGTTTCGAACGAATCCGGTTCGTACGAAAACGGGAATAGAGGTGACAGTTCGCTGTATTATGAAATATTTTAAAATTCATGCGAAGGTCCTCTGACGTGCTTTAATATATTATTTTTTTAAATTTGCTTGATTAAGGAACTAAAATAAAATTTCCTGAAGATTCCGGATTTTACAGGATTTTCAAAAGTTTTACAGGTAGTAGACACTGTACCGAATGGGTGGCCACCCTGAAAACAGAATTGAGTGTATATATTTTTCCAGATTTGTCATCGAAATCCATAGGCTCATTCTAGTAATTCTGAATTTTCGGCATTTTCCCGGTTGCCTGGTTCACTGGTCACCCTGTATAAAGCAAAACCATACTGGGGACGGATTCGATTTCTGGTCCGGCCTAGGCATTTTTCGGGTTAGGAAATTCCCCGTCTTTCCTAGGCATAGAGTAGGATGATTTGCCACCTTCCATCATGAGAGAATATCCGAGAGATGTGCACCCCTATTCTGTATTTCGTTTCGAACGAAATTCTCATACAAAAAAATAAATTTTTGTTTGAGAGTTTCGTTCGAAACGAAATACAGAATAGGGGTGGTGATTTGAATAGATGAATAGTTTGAGACGTTCAGTACTATAGTACCTGATCAACCTGAAGTCTTGAAAAAATATCCAGTCGACTTTTTGGAGATCTTAAAACATATGAAGGACTTTGGAATAATTTCTAAGCTATGAGAGCAAATCAGAGAGATGCGATATGGATTATGGAATACTTGGATATCTTTAGAATGATAGTTGAAGATGCTAATTTCGAAAAGCAGACTAAGGTGTATAGTATAGAGTTGATAGTTCCATTAGAATAAGGCAGTGTGAAAATTGTATATAGAGAGTAGAAAGCGAGCAAGGACAACTGTTTAGGAAGGTACAAATCGGTTTAATCATCTCTCTTTACCAAACTCTCCCGTTGGAGGGATGCGTCCCCCGCCACCACTGTTTGAAACAGTTCTATCGATTGTAAGCACTCAAGTTGTTATCTGAAGGAAGGCATCCAGTCGAAGGTGGTTTGGAAATTGCAGCTATTGTTACCTCTACCACGGTATGTGCTTCAGTCATCGTCGACAGGACGATCTCGAGGGGACACGGGTAGGGTAGGTGCTGCTACAGTAATCGATGGTAAGCTCCCATCCAGAGTTATGTACGTTTTAACTATTTGTTTTTTGTATTACTTCTGCGTGAAGTCTACGATTTACATAGTTGAAGATGCTAATTTTAAATAACAGACTATGAACAAACCTGATCAATTAGGGCTATTCTGCGCGGCGTATGAGGTGAAGTGATGGTGAAGTGACAATTGCCACCTCGGGTGAGGTGACTCTCCATTTGATTTGCACGAAGAGTCACCTCACCCGAGGTGACAATTGTCACTTCACAAGTGAGAGCGTGTCACCTCACCTCACACGCCGCGCAGAATAGGCCTGAATCTGAAATCTTGAAAAAAACATCCTAAGGTTTTAAAGGTGATCTCTTAGGCCGTTTGCTATGGTGAGTTTCAAAATTGTTAAATAAATATTAAACAATTGCACTGCACTCCACAATTATGTTCAGGTCGTCGTCACACGGACGCCTTATTACTTCTGCCCAATCTCCGCAAATCTAAGATAGCTATCATCAATCAATTTTGCCAGTGCTCTTTTCAGTATACCTGCATGCGCAGCAATTTTTCACTTAAAGCTAAGATTTTCCTCCCTTCAGTATCGTTCGAGTGCTAACGGCTAGCAGTTCCAAGGTGCAGGTATTTTCTCCTTGATATCAACCAAAATTTACGACGCCCATAATTGCACTAACCGATACTGCCTAGAATATGAGACACTCCTCATATTGGTTGGCTTGCCCTCCCTCCCTCATGAAGAGGTCTGCACACACTTATAAATACCTCCCACAATTTTGAGTGGATCCATGAAGACTCTGCGCTCATCTGATTTGAAGACACCCAGTTTTTAGTGGATCCATGAACCCTAGGGTAGGTCAAGTTTGTACAGCGGATCACAATCGCTGCTTCCCGCTGCTCTTTAGATGTGTATCGAGGTACCCAACAACTGACAAATTTGGATATGATCTGGATTTGCGTGAGAATTTTTATTTTTTTATGATGGAAAATTGTGCGGGAAACAGAACAAAACCTTGACCAAACTTTGAACTTATATATGTAATACTAAGCACAACAACTTTGTCTAAGATCGCTAATCGCAAAGCTGTAACGATGAGCAACGCGATGAGCGAGTAATTAGTGATCATAAAATCGCTAATTGTGACCTTTTGAAAGCAAAATTGACTAATTTTATATGTCATATACAATCTTTACCACCTCTTCTTGCATCTTGCAAATAAAAATTATTATTACAGTATCCCATTGTTTCAGCATTTTAGCTGTAATGAGCAATTGCAAGCCTGGTGGTAACCACTAAGTTACCGAACCTCGACCTTATTTACAGTTTTCGGTTATTTTAGATTAATTGGGTAAAATTGTTATAACAATACATTTTACAAAACTTTCGGTAAATTATATTTTGCAGAATGATTTCAGTAAAAAATACCGATCGAATTTTTCACATCTTACAAATTAGTACAAACATTGATATTTCAACCCATCTTTGAACCCACTGTGCTCATTGATGCCAAAGCCAGACCATCAGCAGTGCCGTCGCTGTTGTGTGGCTGTGTCGGAATGTCAATGGTCTTCTTCTTGCTGTTGTCGCTCTTCTTTCCCGGAGCTCCCACTCACGCTCTCGCTCTCCCTCTTTCTTGTTCCCAACATCAAAAGCACGGGATGCGCCTTTCCTTCCACAGCAAAATGATGGCTCAAGAAAGAAAAAAAATCGAGCTGCGAAAAAAACTCATGTTTTCCAAACTTTACCTACCTAAAAGTGCACCACTCACACAAATTTTCACTTCATCAGCTGCTTCGCACTTTTCACTTGGATTTTCGCTATCTTTCGATCACTTTTGCACAATCTTACACGCCCAAAATCGATCTTACACGAATGGCTGTCGGGAACTGTTTCTTCCAACGCAAGTTTTCACTCACAAACAGGTAAACTTTTTGCACTTTGTTCCACGTCGGACACGCACCAAAACACGACACTAATTACAACGATAGGTTTCCTTTCGTGTAATGGGGAAGAATCCAACGAAATCACTTTACATTACAGTTTTTCAGCAGGCTAACGGCGACGACCGAGGAGAGCAAAAAACACACCCATTCACTTTGGCCATTTCGACTTTTCTGTGGACTTGATTGACTGACTGAACTGGACTTGATGATGACGAACGAATTCTCTCGGTTTCTCGCACACATCCACAAACATTCGCTAGCTAATGACAGTCATGTTGTGTGTTTTGTTGCGTGTGAGAATCATCATCAACAACCGGAGAGAACAGAACAACACAGAATGATGATAATATCACGGACACACGCAAAGGTAGGTCGAGCAGTTTTTCGAATGTGCGAACATCTCACGACCTCACCCACACAGACTTATTTTGACAAATAATTCGAGCAGTTCCCCGGCACTGGAAACCAAAACTGTATTGGACCTTTCTAATGTTTATAACACGCACACTTGCGTAATGCCCCATTCAAGTGTGAAGTTTGTTATCCTCACTTTCGCTTCAGTCGAAGCATTTGGTTTGGTCACACAGAAATTCAAAACAACCCAAAATTAAGTTCTTTTCACTGATCTCCCATGTTCCGTACGATAAGCCAAATTTGAGTAAACCGGCTCAAAGTAGTTTGCATTTAAGCACGGCAAAAAAAATTACCCATCGCTAAGTTATTTTCAATTTTTTCTACCCAAAATTAAGTTCAATTAACTCAAATTTGGGTATATCGCATATTACTCAATTTTAGCTTCTCGTACGGAACTAGACGGTTGAGTCGAATCTTTCGTTCTATTTTTGACAACAATATCGAGAGGAAATGAAACGGGCAGAGGTCAAATAACTCAAATTTGAGTTTAAAAAACCCAAGCGGTGGGTAGTTTTGTTTTTTTGTGCACTTTCGGGCCATCAATATTCGCCCGCATAAACGCGAACCATAAATTGACCTTACCTAAAATGGTTAAAAATTGTTTATAATCCCTGCTGAACTTTAACTGAAATGGTTATGGAACTTTACATGAACGTTTAATGATAAAGTTTCAACCTTATGTATTATGGTTTTTTGGAACTGGACCTTACAAATAATGGGTTGTTAAGAACCATTACCGTTCCAAATTCTTGTTACTCCATACATTTTCGGAAAGAGAACTATATTAGAACCTTTAAACTTATGGTTTGGGAACTTTAATGGTAATGGTTATGGTAGTCAGTAAGGTCCACGAATGGTTTTGTAACATCGATCAACTTTATGTGGAATATATCGCGAATTGGTTGCCTGTAATTTACTGATTACCAATTCACGATATATTCCACGTAAAGTTGAGCGATAATACAAAACCATTAATGGACCTTACTGACTACCATAACCATTACCATTAATGTTCTCAAATCATAAGTAAAAACGTTCTTATATAGTTCTCTTTCTGAAAATGTATGGAGAAAACAAGAATTTGGAATGGTAATGGTTCTTAACAACCCATTATTTGTAAGGTCCAGTTCCAAAAAACCATAATACATAAGGTTGAAACTTTATCATTAAACGTTCATGTAAAGTTCCATAACCATTTCAGTTAAAGTTCAGCAGGGATTATAAACAATTTTTAACCATTTTAGGTAAGGTCAATTTATGGTTCGCGTTTATGCGGGCGTGCTCGTACTCGTGCGCATAGAGATTATTTAGTGACGTTTAACGCACGCACACTAGCAGGAGCAACGCCGTGTAATCAACAATCAATACGAAACTAACGATTTTAAATTGACCACTTTGTCAAGCAGTTTTGGCGTGACTTTCTACCAGCGATTTCACAAATCTGGACCAGCTAATTTGATTTTTTTTTTCATGAAACGCACAAATGTTGGCTACTTTTCTCGTGGTTCAAGAAGAAAAAATCTCAAAATAATGTTTTATTTCAAAGTTCGTCATTTTGACTGCTCGAATAAAGTGGTTAATTGGCCGTTCGCAATGCTGAGTTTCAAAATTGTTTCAAACTACTCGTCAATTCTATAATTTGAAACTGTCAAAAATAAAACTGCAACACGATCAGCGCAACGCACAGTTCTTAAACATGTTTGTAATCATCAAGTTCCATAAACTTTACTGTTCTGTATGAAGTTCTCCGTTTTTTTTGTGGAGCTCTTCGAAACATCTTCAACACATCCAAAGAAATTTGAAACATTCGTGTTTCAAACTCGCTCAGAAATAAAACAGAATAGTCGAGCAGTTGCAAATCTGGTGCAAAATAGTGCTCGAATAATGAAACTGCAACTCAGCATTGCAAGAGGTGCGTTTCTGTTCTAGTTTCAAATTAACCACTTCATTCGAGCAGTTAAAATGACATTTACTACCACTCGAACTTTGAAATAAAACATTATTTTGAGATTTTTTCTTCTAGAACCACGAGAAAAGTAGCCAACATTTGTGCGTTTCATTAAAAAATAGTAATTTGTTGGTCCAGTTTGGAGAAATCGCTGGTAGAAAGTTACGCCAAAACTGCTTGACAAAGTGGTCCATTGAAACAGTCCTTATAAAATACAACAGCATTGCGAACGGCCTTAGTAGCCTATTGGTCCCAAGCAAATCGATTAACGTCCCCATTCTAGTCGAAATTCTAGTACTACACAATGTTTGTTTTGATTTGCTATGAAAGTTTGACAGATAAAATGAGGGGATCGTGGATTTTCCTATGTTTCGAGGGGTGCATCGATTAGCTTGGGACCGAAGATAGTACCAGAGCTGAGCCAAAAAGTTGAGCTCGTTTCTTCGGGACATTCTGGTCTTAGAGTTACCTCTATGCTAATACCTCGACTAATACTTGTGCATTTCACAAACGTCAAATAAGTCTATAGTGCAAGATGGGGCAAGAGTACGCAGGCGGTAAAAGGCGAGGGGGGCGACACATCCAAAATGTCGTTTAGCTTCAACTCTATTTACACATGATTTTCTTGGTGAGTGTAGATTTTCAGGATTCCGTTTCCTACCGTTTCCTACTATTTGCTGGCATCTACTTTTTCGATGCTGCAGTAGATAGAAGTCGATGGCGATAGGTACTGAAGGATTTTTCATGAAAAGTAGGTGTGTGTGTGTGTCAATTCATTTGCTGCTAAAGGCCTGTATAGAGATCGAAGCGAAGCGAAAATCTCATACAAAATACTACATTTTTCACCTGCGTGAAAAACGCAATTCAGTGCCAACATTTCAAAGCGGCAGTTGTCCCACAGCTGTCTACAGCAGCAGTCGATTTTTTATTTCGTTGTGAACCACACGATAGCCTGTTTTCGAGACTCGCTATTATATAGTTGCTCTTTGTTCGCTGCTAGCAGTTCGGTGCCTTTTGTTGCTACGGTGCAAGATGTGTGAAGTAAAAAACACCATCAAGTTTAGCTTCAGCCATTGTGATGCCAAACCAAACATCGGAGAGATAGTAAATTTCGCCAAAGCACTCGACGCGGATCCGGCTGAAATGGAAGCTGTTTATCGCATTGGTGAGGAAAGGGGAGTCTTCATGAAGTTCAAATCAGAGGAAGCGATGCTCCATGCTCTGACATTCAATTCGGAGGATTTAATCTTCCATTATGCGAATGGAACGACGGCAAAGGTACGCATGTCGCATGCTGGTGAATTCATTCAATATGTGCGTGTGTATGACTTGCCACCAGAGGTACCCGACAACGAGCTGGATAAAGTGCTGGGGAAATATGGGAAAATTAAACGCATCATCCGGGAGAAATTTCCAACCGATCTGTGTTTTGAGGTATATACAGGGATACGCGGTGTATATATGGATGTGAAGAAGGAAATCCCCACGTCATTACATTTCTTCAATCGCAAAGGAAATATTTTTTATGATGGCAACAAAGATAAATGTTTTCTGTGCAAGGCGGACGGACACCGGAAGCTTTCCTGTCCCAAGCGGAAGGCTCGGAAGGAACCGGAGAAGCAACTGAAGGAAAAAGGAAAGCAAAGTGAAAGAAAACAAAACAGCAGCAGTACGTATGCTGGTGTAGTGGTGGAAGGTGCGTCGTTTGTCATTAGCGATCAGGAAACGGATACGGGGTTGGAGATGTTGAATGCAGATAACGAAATGGACGTGACTACCCCGACGACTGACGAGAGTAGCGCAGAGGCTGCAACGGGAAACGATGTCCAGAAACAGCAGCAGCGATCACGATTCGGGTTCAATGAAAATGAGGAACAAATTCGGGAAAGAAAGAAGTTGCGTGCACGGGAGAAGATCGCTTTGTCGCCGCTTCGATCGCCACCCAGAAAAATCATATGATAAAATATATTTGTACATATTTTTTTTTTTTTGTATTTTGACTACCATAATTGTTATTCTATGTTACTCGGCTCCGCTAAGTTATTTTTATAACATTTGAGCCTGCCAAATAAACGAAATGAAAAAAAAAAATTTCAAAGGGGCGTAATTGCTTTTGTAAACAATGACTTTAGCCCTCAATTTCTCGCGAATGAAATCTTACCTCTCCAAAATTACAATTCTAGCTGGTAGAGGAAACATTCCTCTACCTTCTAGTGTCATTATTTTTCATGAGTGAGCTTTTATTCGCGAGAAATCGACGGCTAAAGCCATTGTTTACAAATGCAATTACGCCCCTTTGAAATGTTGGCACTGAATTGGCAAATATTTCGCTTCGCTTTGAACAGTAAAGCTTAGTATACAGATCGAAGCGAAACGAAAATTGGAGCACGCGAAAAATCATGAAATTTTGCTAGCGAAAAAGGTTGTGAAAAAATGTTTGTGGAACATTTTCCAGTTTCCTTTTTTCGCAGTGTGAAACGAAATCGGTCAGTTTACACCTCCGGTGAAGTGAAAATCTGATAGATACGCTCTTTCTCGAAACGTCAAGTTCAAGTGAAACGAAATCGATCAGTTTACACCTCCGGTGAAGTGAAAATCTGACAGATCCGCTCTTTCTCGAAACGTCAACTTTTCGCTTACCTGCTGCTCTTTTCGCTAGCGCTGCATGCGCGAAAAAAAATAACGTAAGCGAAAAAGATACGATCCACAAAATAAGATTTCGCTGGATCGTATCTGTTTACAGTTCAAAGCGAAGCGAAATATTTGCCAAATGCGTTTTTCACGCAGGTGAAAAATGTAGTATTTTGTATGAGATTTTCGCTTCGCTTCAATCTCTATACAGGCCTTAAACAGATACGATCCAGCGAAATCTAATTTTGTGGATCGTATCTTTTTCGCTTACGTTTATTTTTTTTTTCGCGCTAGCGAAAAGAGCAGCAGCTAAGCGAAAAGTTGACGTTTCGAGAAAGAGCGGATCTGTCAGATTTTCACTTCACCGGAGGTGTAAAGTAAACTGATCGATTTCGTTTCACTTGAACTGTAAACTGCGAAAAAAGGAAACTGGAAAATGTTTAAAAAGACAGCATACTTTATATTTCTCATCACTAAAATTAAAGTTTCCAATCATTCAGATACTAAGGATATTTTTTATTGTAATATGTATCTAATAGACTAAACGTTTTAATACTTTACATAGCAAGCGGATAAATGATTCCATAATTTTTTAGTATACAGTTGACTTAATCAAATTATCATAAATTTGATGGATATTAAATCAATAAAGGTGTGATTAACGAGAATAAAAAAAAAACGTTAAAGAATCAATACAAGTCTGGAGCATTCTTTGAATTGTCATATTGAATTAATTATTTAACCATAAGCCAAATTATTTGAAGAGTTTGTAGGCTCGTAACTCCATAAAATTCCACAATTATACCTATCACCTTAGAAGTTAACTAGAAGTTAAATAATTATACTCCCCGGAATTATCATAATATTCAGAATTACTCGTATTAAAACCCTGAAACAGTTTTTTGTATCTAATTTTAGTATTTTATTGTAGTTTTGATAACTTGTTTTGCAGAATGGCTTTGCGGGGCGGGATGTACCATATTGAGATACAGGTGTTGTCAATCAGGCATTATCTTCTGGTTGGTTTATATAACACACATGTTATCGATAGGAAACCTTCAAAAATTAGCGGGCTGGTGATCCAGTACAGTAATAGACCTAAGTGGATGGGAAGAATCGTGGATTAAAACTTGCGCTTTTCCATGAATAGAGCATTTTACGAGACATTTCTGGTTTAATTTATGAATGAACGCATAATAGCCGCATGTGCAAAAACAGCGTTCCAAAAATGTTTAAATTTACATCGTCCATGGGGTTTTAATGATGATGATTTTAATCTAATTGTGGGATTTGGAAACAGAATAATTAATACTTCGCACATTCATGTAGATAGTTAGTAGTCAAAAATGTACTCACGCTAATTCTAATGCTACTCTTGTAAATATTTGAAGTAAACCTGCCGACCGAGAGTACGTGCCGCTACAGGAATAACTGAAGAAATTCATGTTACAGTAAACAAGCCCGGCAAACCGTGAACGAGGTAGTTTTCATAATATCGCAACCTACCAGTTGCTGGGGGATTTTCCGAGAGTCGAAGTGACTTTTGTCACTAGTGAAGTGAGAAAAATCACGTCGTGGTGACGTGACTCTCTGTGCAAATCAAATATAGAGTCACGTCACCGCGGGGTGACTTTTCTAACTTCATTAGTGACAATAGTCACTTGGACTCGAGGGGGGCGACACATCTAAATCTCAATTCTAGATGCTCAACAAATCTCACACTAGCGAATCAATCTTCGAAAAATCTTCAATCATTTCTCCAATCTACTTGCATCGCACATCATCTTTTTGCAGGAAATCATCAAAATCGTCATCAATCTTCATTCTATCTACTCAGTGTGCATGCAGCTAACCACAGCAAAATACAAGTTTTCCTGCATCGTAGATAGAGTCGCCCCCCTCGCTTGGACTCTTGTACCCCCGCTGACTGACTTTGACTAGAAAGATGCTGGAGATTTACGACCATAGCGTTTCTCATTGTAGAACCCTAAACTGGCAGTGGTTTTCATTGGTCGGTACGGTAAGGATTCACGTTTTGTTTCGCAGTGGGCACTAGCTTCCACAAAGCAATTTCGTAGCGCTTCCTAAATGACCATCATTTGGCGGCACCATCTCTATCTCCGAACGGACCACTTAAAACTCACATATCTATAATTCTGGTGTTACGACGTTGAACAATTGTCACTTGACCACAGTCTCACCGAAATGTACATAAACACCTCCGGCTTGCTGCTTCGTCTGCTACGGTTGTTTGTTCGGTGATAGCTCGATCACGAGATGATTCGAGCATGCACAAGTAGATGGTAGTAGATGCCACGCACATATGCAAAAATAGTAAAGATTCACGCTGGAAATGAGATAATCTGGATGTGTCGCCCGCTCGTGGCCGACCCAACTCCACTTTCGCTCTCGAATTTCTGTTACTACCGACTTCTGATGACATCGACGATGGAGCTCGGCATTCGAGATCCAGTTGTGAGGCCACCAGGCACGAATTATATATCACAGGCATCGGTTGATGAAGACCTAGAACAGCTTCTGAGTGTTCTTAGCTGAAACACACCGCGTCTCGCTGGCTTATAACAACACAGATTTCACGTTTCTGTTGAAAACTCCGATTTTGGTGCGTTGACTTATCTGGTTGGATCTCCATACGTTTCGTAAACCCGCAAAGGCAGCCCTAGCCTTCTTGATTCGTGCACCTATGTTCGACCTTCTCCACTGCTTGCCTCGCTACCGTAAAGTTGGAAGAGTTGCCCGTGTTGACATCCAACGATTTGGTCTTGAAAACGTTGATGGTGAGACATCGAGGAGCGTTCGGCTAGGTCATTGAGCTTACTCTGCATATCAGAGCGCCGTTGTGCTAGTAGAGCAACATCATCAGCCAAATCAAAGTCGTTGAGATGCTCCATGGTGATAGGCTGCCAAATCAGCCCACGGTTCGGTACACGGTCAATTGCACCCACCAAGATTTCGTCGATTACGATGAGGAACAGTAGCGGTGATAATATACATCCTTGTCTCACACCAGCGACTACCCGGATATGGTCAGACAAGGCTTCGTTATGCAGAACTCTGCGTCTCAGGGCGCCCCACAGATTCTCGTGATTTAGTCGGCCGAAAGCTTTTTCGTAGTCAATGAATACCAAATAAAGGGACTCTTGGAATTTATTGTCTTGCTCCAGGATGATGCGGACTGTGACAATATGGTCCAACAATATGCTGCCGCCGGAGAGTCGCGTCGATCTTCTCCTGTATCCGATTCAGGATAACTCAGGGGACCTTCACTAAGACGCCCTGCATCCAGTCGGCCGGAAAAGTGGCGGTGTCCCAGATATTAGAGAATAGTTGATGCAACATTTGAACGGATAGCATGGGGTCAGCTTTGAGCATCTCTGCTGATATGCGATCGTCCCCTGGAGCCTTGTTGGATTTCATGCTTCGGAAAGCTGCTTCAATCTCCTGCAGTGATGGGGCCTCGGAATTGACGCGAGTGATGCGCCGCACCCTAGGCGGATCATGCCGAGATGTTGTGATGGCTGGTTGGCCGTCGAAACTTGATGAAGTTTCAGCTGTTCAGTGGGGTCGTATATCGCCAATGTTTGCTGCTTTCTTCTCTTTGTCGGCCAGGGAGTTCACATACGCTCGCTTGTCCCGTCTGCAAGAGCGCTTGACTTCCTTTTCTAGAATCGAGGTTGTTCTCGCTTGTTTCTATAAAGGCATGCTTGATGGCCGTTTATTGTTCTTCTACGCTGCCACCTTCTGGAATGTCCGCAGCTCGAGTCTCAAGTTCTTCAACGAAAGATTATTTTTAGGTGAAGACATATTATCATTAATGATACCGCCTTTATTCACAGGTTGTTTAAAATCTTGGGCAATATGTTCTTGGAAGATTTGTAAACAAGACAAGGCTTATGGAGATGGCTACATGTTTTTATATCTTGTGGATTAGTTTAACATTAAAAAGTGAAAGATATATAAGTTTTCCTAATTTTTTTTTTAAATGATTTGACTATCCAAATACAATGAAATTTCCGGAAAAAAAATATTGTTTAATCAATGCGTTTGACTTGCACTGTCGCAATAATGCGAGGTCGGCCACACGCTTCGACGGGGCGGAAACGAAATCGGAAGGACATCGCAGCAGTGGCAGACCCAGGGGCTCATGGCGGCGGAGCCTCAATTAGGAAATAAAGCAAGTCGATAGGAATCTGACCTAGGCCCAGGTGAAAGCAAAAGCGAGCAGCCGCCCAGGACTTTGTCCACCTTGTTTATCAATAGACCATGCAGCTAATACGAAAAATTACTGTCCTTTTGACAGTTGATTTTTGCTGGTTTCCAGCAATCCTTCTGATCAGTGATGGAAAAGTTCATCAAAGTTCCCTATGACTCGCGAACTTTTCCCTTGGTGAACTTCGTGAAATATCGCGAACTTTTCCAACACTGCTTCTGATAAACCGAATGTTAAAATATGTTTGCTGATATTTCAGTAAATATTATTTTGCTTCGTGTGTAGCAGAGATGCGTTAGAGTTGAAATTTCGTTTAAGCATCTAGCGTCGAAATCACTGGTGTTTTTACTATTCCACCAATTAAAGCACCATTAATTTGGCGCCAAGCCCGGATGTTAGCAAAAAGGTCTCTAAATTCGGCCAAACTCCGCGGCCTTGCGTTTTTCTATTAATAAAACAAATTAGACAGTGCAGTCGCTTTCAAGCCCACAAGATGCCACTGCATGAGACACAGGTGCGTATCAATGTTACGTATGTTACATACGGATTATTATTATTATTAGATGTTACGCAATTCTATTGTATCTGCTCGCCATCTTTCATCCACCGAAGATCTTTCGTGGTACTGACAATTAAGTCTACTAGTACTTGCACTAAAACCAATGAATCAAACACTCGAACTAAATAGAAAATTGATGCATGTTCGACAAGATTCCTTAAGTCTTATATGATATCTTCATGAGCTTTCGGAATCGTAATATCAATCTAAAGTGCCATGTTAAGTCTAATTTATTCCGACTGCAACATAGTTAACGTGTAGAATACCTCGAAAACTCGAAACAAAACACCTACTTCTTCTTGCCCTTACCGGACGTGGCTGCTTTCGCCTTCGATCCACCGGCTTTGCTACCACTGGCAGAAGAACCCTGACCGGCTCCCTTCGCCGCGGGCTTCTTCTTGATCTTGATGAAAGCATTATTCTCCAGATTATCGTCTTCCTTCTCTTCCTCGGAATCGACAGCCGCAGCTTGACCTTCTTCGCCTTCCCCGTACAATTCGCCGGCCGCTTCGTCTTCTGCAGCTTCCGCGCGCTTCTTCTTGACAGCATTGACCGTCGAGTACGAATACGGTGCAATTTCCTTGTTGTAGGCCCGGGTGAGAGCAGCCTTCACCTTCCCGTCGACCTCGTCCATCGGACTCTTCTTCTTGGGCCAAGTTGTAAGTTCGATTAGCGATTCCAGATCCTCCCTGAGCAGACGATACTCCTTTATGACGTTCAGGGCTTCCTGGACACCTTCGGATCCTCTTTCCTTCAGGGGACGTACAATCGCATTGACGAGGAACGGTGCATAGTCCAATCGAACCGAGAGTCTCGATCCGGAGGTGCTGATCCGAGTGTGATCGTGTATTTCTTGGGCAAGGCGTTTTCGCTTGGAAGCTTTTGAGTTCTTGCCCAGCCATCCGGGGAAGTTGATCTGTCCGGTAAAGGAACCTTCCATGTACTCACCAGGCATAACCGAACTGTACATGGCCTGCAGCGGGAGCAGGGTCCATGCCATATTGGACCGAATTCTCCGATCGACCATGTCGCCTCGACTTAAGCTATCCGCCGCAAGGGCTACCTGGTCCATCAGTTTGGGCTTCGGAACCCGAGGTGATACTTTTAGATAGTTCTCCTGAACGAACAACGGAGCTAAGCTGTAATCGTGGAAGAACAGATCCGATTTGTCGTGAATGGACATGTTCTTGTGTTCCTCGGCGGAGAACACCTTCCGGACGACGTCCCACGGGCCCATCTTGACGTCCTTGTGAGCAGTTTCCGCTTCTTTTTTGGCTTTTTCCACACTAAGGCTACCGGCAGCCTTGCCAGCACTGTACAAAGCCAGGTGGTTCAACGTTTGACGAACGTCGCCTCCGGTGCCGGAAATTATCTCCTCCAGGGCCCCCGGCGCGAGCTTGAGACCCTCCTTGAAGCACACGGACATCATGGCGCCCTGCAAAAGGTTGAATTTTGTGAGATTGTTCAATCCAGTCGTTACCCTTCCCTTACCTTAATCTGCTCCACCCTGGGCTTATTGAATCTCAGATCGTAGCAGTAGTTCACCAGCGATCGCATCTTCTGGTGGTTCCGATCGTTGCACATGCAAATGATCGGCACGTGACTGTCCTTGATGAGGGCGATCAGCTCCTGGATTCCGCCGCGGTCCTCATTGCCGGCCATGCCGTCGACCTCGTCCATCACCAGGACGTGTTTCTTGGTAACCTTGTCGCCCTTTCCGCCCTCGGTAAAGTACCCAAACAGGGACTTATTGTTCAGCAGCTCGGCCACTTCCTCCTTGAGAAGCCTCTTGCTTCTGGTGTCGGAAGCATTGAACTCGACCGCATCGAATCCTAGCTCCTTGCACACCAGCGTGGCGGTGGTGGTTTTGCCCACTCCAGGAGATCCGGAAAGCAGAACCGCCTTGTAGTACGCGCCTTCATCGTTCTTGGCCCAGGGATTTGGTCGAGGGATGTTTTTTCCGCGGTTCGAGTGCCATTTGGACAGCCAGTTGAGCAATTTTTGAACGTTGCTGGCTGGACCAGTTTGGCCGATGATCTGCTTGACCGAGGTAGGCTTATACTTGTCGACCCAGGCCATGTTTTCAGTGCTGTTGATGTCGTTTTGGTAACTGGTTACTTCCCGTACGATCGGAGCCATTGGTTCCCAAGTGAGTGACTTCTTTGGGGACTTCTTTTCCGAGGAAACCTTCTCGATCTTTGGAATTTTCGGAAGCTTCGCTATTGGAGCGCTAAATTCTGAATGCTTCTTCTCGGGAGTCTTCTTCTTCTTGGGCTCCGGTTCGTCCACCTTCTTGCGCTTTTTCTCTTTGGATTCGTTGGAAGGTGATTTGTCCTCTTTCGGTTTGCTCTTTTCCGATGAAGCAGAACTCGAACCAACTGAAGTGCTGCCCTTCTTCGGCAACCCCGACCGTTCGCGGATCAAATCTAGCAGAACGTCTTCGGAGATCTGTGGAATTCCAAGCTCATCAGCCTTTGCCAACTTTGAAGGTCCAGCGTCATCGCCGACAACCATATGCGTGAGCTTTTTCGAAACCGAAGCAACCACCTTTCCACCGAAATCCTTAATAATCTGGGCACATTCGTCTCTTTCCATCGATTCCAGCACTCCGGTCACCACGAACTGCAGCCCTGCCAAACAATTCGGTTTCCCCTTGGGAATCTCTTTACTGCCCGGATTTGTCGGACCCTGGCGATTCTTGAACTTCTGATACAGCATAGCGGACATCCGTTTGCGTTCGTGACGCTCCTCATCCGTTAGGATCGATTCATTAGGATCCTTCTTGGAGCTCTTCGGTGTCCCTCCGTCGCTGGTACTTTCCTTCTTCACGATAGCCGGTTTCTCCTTGCTCTTCTCCTTTGGAATCGATTCATTCGGATTCTTCTTGGAGCTCTTCGGTGTTCCTCCATCGCTGGTAATTTCCTTCTTCACGATAGCCGGTTTCTCCGGTGTTGGGGTTTTCTTCTTCTCGAGCTCTTTCTTTTTGTCTTCCCCATGTCCGTGTCCGTTGACTTCCTTCTTTTTAGCGGGACTATCCTTCTCCTTCTTCATCGGACTATCTTTCACCTTCTCCTTCTTCTTCGCTGGAGGAGATGTGTCAGGAATAACCTCATCCAACCCCAGCAAAGTCTTTTCAAACTCCTCGTCCGAGTGGATTTCAATCTCTTCCTTAATCGCCTTCTTGCTAGGCTTTGGGACCTCCTTCCTCTTAATCGGTGCCGAGCTGAAAACGTCCGCCGCACTCACCGCTTTCAGTTTCGACAAATTCGGTTTCACAGAAGACGACGACGAAGACTTGGAACTGCTGGTCTTCTCCTTGATCGGACTCTTTTCGTCTTCATCGTCGGAATCGATTACGCGACGTTTCTTGTGTTGCGAAGCGATGGAACTGGGTTTTTCCGGCGTGGAAACGGCTTTCCTGCGATCATCCGGCTCGTCGTCGCTGTCGATGATGACCTTCCGCTTGCTCGAGGCGGAAGACGGTTCCTTCGGTGGGTTCGGTTTTTTCGCTTTCGATCCCACCGAGAAAAATGATCGGATGTCCTGTTTAAATGTTTGCGGTTTGTTTATTTTTTCCAATGAAATAAAAATCAACAATGTTTACCTTGGACATGGTGCTACTCGTTTTTCTGAGGCGTAGTTTTGTCTGCTTCTATTTTTGATCAAACATGAAAAAATCGCTACTCACATACAATAGCGCACTAACAACTTACTGCGCAATATTGTACACGAATTATTTGTATAAATGAACAAACTTAATGAACTGTTATCAACAATTTAGGAGTGGTAAAATTAAAGGATTCCACAGCGTACACAGGATGGAACTTCAGTCTGGAAAATGAAGCAAAAGTTTGGCGGAATTTTTGTTTGCCGGCGTTTGACAGCTTCCTATAAATAAACAACAACAACAACAACAACAACAACAACAACATAATGCGGGGAACGCCGCCCATGGTTGACACAAACTGCATTATCGGCAGTATGCGGGTGTTTAGTGAGGATGCCAACCATGCAATGTTGAATGGTTAGTGCACGATCGTTCAAATCAACTCAAAAATGATAAATTTGTATCATTTTCGGATATAATGTTGTTCATTTTCAATCTATATCAGTTTAAGCCCGGTAGGCAGCTGAAAAGTAATGACGTTTTTACGTGCTACGGGATAGGACACGGAATGCTAAAGAAATTTCCTTAGCATTTCTTGACCCAGTACGCAGTTCAGAAGAAATCGGTAAAGGAAAGATCGATTACATTAGCACAGACAAACAGACATAACACATTGAATATTTTTCAATATAAAACATCGTCACTAAAACACTACCGCCATCTGTTGAGAATACTGTGATGGGTAGTACGCTGAACAGATGGCGTTAGTGTGTAAACGTCAAACGCAAGGGTTATTGACTATGCGCGCCACGAGTAGCGGTACTACCAACTAAAAACATTTAAATTGACCGTTAAATGCGTGTTCGATGAACAAATTGCCAGTGTTATGTCTGTTTGTCTGTGACATTAGTATCGTGATTGACATGAAGGTGCCACATTCTGGATGCAATTAATCATTTTTTTCGACCATTTTCCACAGAGATGGCGCTGTTCCGCTGGTAGGAAGAGATAAGGCAACAATCAATACGAAACTAACGATTTTAAATTGGCTCACTACTTGACTAGCCTATTGGTCCCAAGCAAATCGATTAACGTATCCCATTCTACTATAAATTCCAGTACTACACTATGTTTGTTTTGATTCGCTATGAAAGTTTGACAGATAAAATGAGGGGTGATTTGATTTTCCTATTTTTCGAGGGGTGAATCGATTAGCTTGGGACCGAAGATAGTACCAGAGCTGAGCCAAAAAGTTGAGCACGTTTCTTCTGGACCTACTAGTCTTAGAGTTACCTCTATGGATAAGGGGCTTTGTCGTTCATTTTTTTTCCCGGAAACTAATGCTAAACAAGCTACAATTAAATAAAAATGATTTTTCCCCATACAATTTTACCTGCTTTACTACCAGCCCCAGAGAGCAAAAACAAAATTCAAATTTGAGAGAGAAATTCTCTCTCACGAGCTCAATCTCTCAACATGCCATGTATTTTGTTGACACTCGATTTGTGGTTTCCCTTTCACAGATTACAAAATAGAGTACCTGACACTACAAAACATGTCTGGTACCTCTATATATGCATTTGCTTTAACATTTGAAGTCCCTCCTTTTTTACATATTCTGCGCAAAAGATACTTTATGCCCCGCCCCATACATAAAATTCGGCGGGAAATTCTGTGAGGGGTGAGCTAATTTGTGTGCAGAATGTGTAAAAAAGGAGGGACTTCGAATAATAATCTAAATGCATATATAGAGGTACCAGCCCCTTAGCTCAGTCGGTAAAGGCGCAGCTATAAAGCAAGACCATGCTGGAGGTGGCTGGGTTCAATTCCCGGTCCGGTCTAGGAATTTTTCGGGTTGGAAAATTTCTCGACTTCCCTGGGCATAGAAGTATGAATGGACTTGCCACACAATTATACCAATGCAAAAATGGTACAGGCATCGAAAGCTCTCAATTAATAACTGTGGAAGTGCATCTAGAACACTAAGTTGAGAGCACGCAATAAGCTAATATGCGATATGCAATAAGCTTGAAATGCGTTGAAGAAGAAGAAGAGGTACCAGCCAAGTTTTGCACTGCAGTGTCCTCTGTGAACAATTATAGGAAAACAGATTGTGTCTAGTTTCCGATAGATGTCACCGCAAACAACAGCTGTGACATCTGATGGAACATGATTGCAGAAGCTTGACAAAATGATCAATTTAACTTTCCTTGCGGAATAATGGTCTGATCTAGAGTCGGTGTATAATGAGTCACGCCAAGAGTGAAGCCAAGTCTACATATTGAACTGTCAAACTGGCTACCTATCATGCAAAATAAATAAACATTACGATGCTATGAAAGGTACACGAAAGGTATTGCAATAAAGTATAAAATTTAATCGAAGTAATGATCATAAACACGCAGTGAGCATTTAAATTGTAATTAGATTCAGGGTTACTTCCACTCACTTGCTATAAAAAAATGTTATCCGGAATTATGAAATCATGATACAGTATAGTGCTAATTACCCGCATAAACGCGAACCATAAATTGACCTTACCTAAAATAGTTAAAAATTGTTTATAATCCCTGCTGAACTTTAACTGAAATGGTTATGGAACTTTACATGAACGTTTAATGATAAAGTTTCAACCTTATGTATTATGGTTTTTTGGAACTGGACCTTACAAATAATGGGTTGTTAAGAACCATTACCGTTCCAAATTCTTGTTACTCCATACATTTTCGGAAAGAGAACTATATTAGAACCTTTTAACTTATGGTTTGGGAACTTTAATGGTAATGGTTATGGTAGTCAGTAAGGTCCACGAATGGTTTTGTAACATCGATCAACTTTATGTGGAATATATCGCGAATTGGTTGCCTGTAATTTACTGATTACCAATTCACGATATATTCCACGTAAAGTTGAGCGATAATACAAAACCATTAATGGACCTTACTGACTACCATAACCATTACCATTAATGTTCTCAAATCATAAGTAAAAACGTTCTTATATAGTTCTCTTTCTGAAAATGTATGGAGAAAACAAGAATTTGGAATGGTAATGGTTCTTAACAACCCATTATTTGTAAGGTCCAGTTCCAAAAAACGATAATACATAAGGTTGAAACTTTATCATTAAACGTTCATGTAAAGTTCCATAACCATTTCAGTTAAAGTTCAGCAGGGATTATAAACAATTTTTAACCATTTTAGGTAAGGTCAATTTATGGTTCGCGTTTATGCGGGTAGTACTTGTAAGTTACAAGAAAAGGTCATGAAGTAAATTTTTGACACATAAAATCTGTTAAAATTGCTTTCAGTGCGTCACAATCAGCGGTTTTACGACTCGTGAGCGCTCACTCTGAGTGAACGCTCACGAATCATAAGATCGCTAATTATGACGCTCTCAAAGCAAAATTGACAGGTTTTATGAGTCAAACACATACTTTACTATCTCTTCTTGTTACTTACAAGTACAACATAGCATTATTGCATCTAATGATTGCATAATTCTGAATAATATTTTTTTATAGCAAGTGAGTGGAAGCAACCCTGATTAGATTCATTTGGTAATTATCAGTAATGAGTATTTGTAATATATGTTGCTGATTTAATTTACTGCAGCCGGTAATTTAATTTCTCGCTAGAAGTCCTTTGAAGTTGATACAGAAGTCCTCTGTTGCCAAGTGAAAGGGAAGGGAATTTTTCGAAAAACCGTGATGTGAGTTCCATTGTTTTTCTCTTGGCGTGACACCGACTCTAGTCTGATCAATTTATTGATGAATTTACGTTACGGTCGACCGGTAGATGGAAATGATGTGAAAATGATAATGACGTTTTGCTACCTGCCAAATCGCATGGAATATTTTTTAGTAAATCATCACTTTTAAGGTTTTGGACTAGGGGCAAGCCTCGGGGCAAGCCAGCTGTACTCAAAGATAATATTTTTGCTCTGAGTAAATTTGAGTAACTTATAATTACTCAACAATGATCAAAGTAGTCTGGCCTTATATACATCAACAAATACAAATCTCTCCAAGTTGTATTCTCATGGCGAATCGAGCGTAATACGACCACGGGACCATCACTCTGGGCTTTCGTTAACAGGGGCGACGTTTTCAATCGATTCCCGTTCCATAGGAGAACAGCACATTGGTTCACAGACGATGAAGAATTCGTGGAAATTAATTCCTGGGAATGGAAGTGCGGCCGATTATGTGCACTGAGAACAGCTACCAAAAAATGCCGAATTTATGAGAAAAAGGAGCGGATTTTGGTGGCGGTGGCCAGCAAGATCACAAAGGAATGACTTGCCTCTTGTGTGAAATACATTTTTGATTAAACGAATGTCAAATGTACACTTAAAACAAAAATAATCAAAAACAAACAAAAAACAACTGGCAGACTAAGTATAAGCAACAATCAATACGAAACTAACGATTTTAAATTGGCTCACCACTTTAGTATCCTATTGGTCCCAAGCAAACGATTAACGTACCCTATTCTAGTTGAAATTCTATTACTACACTATGTTTGTTTTGATTCGCTATGAAAGTTTGACAGATAACATCAGGGGTGTGTGGATCCATGCAGAACATGCAGGGGTGAGTGAAATAGCTTGGGACTGCTTGGGACCGTTGTTCTGGTACTGAGTGAGCCAAAAATAATAATGATTTTCTTCGGGACCCAGTGGTCTTAGAGTTACCTCTATGGTATAAGATTCGCAAATATCACACATATTAAAATATTTAATATTTCCACCATCGGTATTGATACTGATACTTGGAGCTGTCCTTCCCCTAGGTGTGAATAAACATTATGTGTCAGAGGAAAATAAGAATCTGAATAATTTTATTTATTTCTTGATACAAATCGTTATTTAATCAATTGAATTCATTCGCAGAATGAAATCTAAGCGAAATCTAATAACTTTGCTTTGAATGGAAATAAAGTAAAAATGCCATATCCGAAGATGGTCTAACATGAAAAATTTATCCGCATCACCCGGCAAGACGTGCTTTATGAGGCCTTCATGTGCTTGGAAAATCAGAGGTTCTGCATATAACAAATTGCATCATTTTAAATAAGAATGAAAAAGTTGAGAATTCAAGATGGATGGGAGCTTGATTTGGTTTTATGGAAACATAAAATTTTAAATATGGCTATACGACGACAATGTATTGCTTTTTCTATTAATCTCGGATTGAACTTAGTGGCAAATAGAAATGCCTATAGTTATTTTTT